ACCTGGGGACAACAGCAATTAAGAGCTGGTTCCATGCTCCTCAAAACCTCCAGATCAGAGGCCTTGCTGCTGGATGTAGTTTATCGTCATACCGAGGACGGTTATTCACTCGGTAAAACATCAGTAATAAAATCATCTCATTATAATTTAAACTCAAAACTTTTAAACAGCCATGCAAGTATTAAATAAATTTGATAAAAAAAAAACACAATATCTTGTGTTTTCCAAAAGGAAAAATTTTTTTTAAATCTATTTTTAAAGTTGTTTCAAATGGATTTCCGCTTTTCTCATCTCGTTAAACAACCACGTTTTTTGAAGTGATAAAAATACTCGACTCTACTTTGTACAAAAAATAGGATCAATGAGAAATTGGAGTTTCGATGTTTTCAGATGTTTTCTCTGGTAATAGAGGTACATACACATTCCCTGTCATCAAAGAACGGGATTTGAAAAATGTCTACTTCAAAATAACTATTTCGAGTTCTCAAGAAAAAAAAACCATACCAAATGACCTTTCTAACCCAGACGCATCGTCGATGAGAAGTTTATAGAAAAACATAACAGGAAAATTAATAATAAAAAAGAGTGTTTATCCGGCACTCAAAACATGAGTCTCGTTGCATTAACACTTTCATTCCATCTTGTTTTTTTCGTTTCTATATCTGCCTGTTCACACGCATCTACGTACGTACATAAATACTTACATGTCTGACAATGAAAAACAATTTCATTTACGAAATAATTTTCATTTTTCACCAGAAACGCCTTCTTTGACAATGAAACTAGCCCAACCTTTCTCTAAAATGACATCGATCGTATATTATTTTTCTGTTTCCGTGTGTCTTTGCTATATCTCTACCTATTTATCTCATCTCCTTTCTATATCTGTCACAAAACAGTGCTCGATGTGGTTAGACAGAGCTAAGAAGTATATATTAATAAAAATACATATACCTACGTTCAAAGTGCGATTTAAAGTTCTGTGTTTATTTACTAATATATATATATATATATATATATATATATATATATATATATATATATATATATATATATATATATATATATATATATATATATATATATATAGTGACAGAACAAAAAATAAAATTTCAAATTTCAAAGTTCAAAACATTAAATAAAAGAGGGCTCAATAGAAAAGTGGAGCAATAAATATTTATTTATTATACACTCTTACATTAGATCATGTATATATCCACTACAAATTTATACATTTTGTTTCAACGTTAAAATTAACGTTTCTTCAGATGGCAAACAATGATGGTACTAAACGATTTTATTCACAGTTACGATTAATAAAACATTGCTTCACTATCCATCCTTGGAAAATTTTTCCATAAAAGGTAAAAAAAATTATCTAAGGAGAAAGAAAAGATGATAAAAGAAAATTAATAAAATGAAGGAAGAAAGGGAAAGAGAAAGGAAGAGAAGATAAAGGGATATGGAAAAGACAAGAAGAAAAACGGATTCAACGAATGAAATTACGTTGAATCAGAGAATTAAAAATATATATATATATATATATATATATATATATATATATATATATATATAAAAATTAGTGACACCTCTTATAACTTCCTTCTCTCTTTTTTCTCTATGGGTTTTTCTTCTCTACCTCTTCGATATCAATATATAACTTCCGTTAAGTTAACCGTTTAAATGTGTCAATGTCTGCTAACTCACTCATGTCTTCTCTCTCCCCACTCAATTCCTCACTTCGTTAATTTGCATATGTTGAATACGGCCCGTCAAAAATGTGTAAATTTTCTTTTCATTTTTTGTTTGGAAGTAAAGTCTGATGATCCGCAGTCCTTTAAAAGGGCTGTGGTGAAATAATTTATTACATGGAACCTTAAAGTGATCTGTTTTTATTTAAATTATTTGCTCTGGATTTACATTGAGCTCTCTGGATTTTATCATCCTTAGGTTTACCCATACGGATTACCTGGTTTTTCATAAACTATATATATATATATATATATATATATATATATATATAACCAAACGCGAGAAGGAACAGATGGAGTAAAAATCCAGCCAGTGCTTGTAGCATTTACTTTTAAAACAGTGCTCAATACAGAGTAGAGCAATGTATTATTATATTTTTATTATAAGAGATTATAATAAAAACGCTTTGAAATCGCTACACAAAAGCTTTCATGTTTCAATACTTTGATTGTACTTCTTCAGGCGATGGTAAGTAAATGTTGATTAAAAATTTTTTAAGAATATTTAAAAACAAAATGTGTCCTCTTTTCAGAAAATTAAAGTGTGGCGAGTGATATAAGGTTAGTATTTAAAATTGATTTGTGGGTATTGATTCATTAAAAATAGACTAGTGTGTATTGATTAACCAATTAAACGTCAGATGTACGTTAAATAGAAAAGTAAGTTCATATTTTGGAGGCGTTTGAGTTATATCTTCATGTCACGATAGGACAGGCCATTACTAACGATTGCGGAAAATATGCCGGTG